TGGCCGCCGGAAGCCCGGAAATGGCCCAAAATGGCCGCGCGCAGCGTTTTCATGCCCTCGTTAAGCGAGGCGAGGGCGCGAAAATGGCTGCCGGCCATTAAGAAGCATCGCTGAACGGTGAGTATTCGGCCCATTTGGAACGCATTAAGCCATGTTTAATGCGTTCCAATGGAATTCCCTGCCCCGTTCAACGATGCTTCAGCATAGCGAAGGTTAATCCGGAACGGATTAACCTCGCTATGCGAGGCACCACTGTATTGTTTAATGCTGTGTTCAGTTGTTTTGGGTGAAAAGCATCTTAGCTTTCCCCCACAAAACAACTTTTATAAGGGGGGAGGTAATGTTACGGTAGCTTGGAAGCCACCTGTCCGTCATTGCTGTAGCGGCATATCATCTGCCAATAGCGTGACGGAAGGTGGGACATAAGGGGTGGAGCCAATGTTTGTAAGGGGAGTGAATGGGTTTGAGTGCTTTAGATAGGGACCAGATAGGGACTGGTTAGGGACCGGTTAGGGTGTTAGGGTTTGTTCATATTGTGGAGAACTGTGCTATATAGTGAGGGTCTGTGAGAGAGTGTGTGAGTGTGTGGTACTTTATTAGTTATTACCTTATTATTTGATTTATTAAAGTGATTTACCATTCCTTTTGTTGTAACCAATAAACACAAGTTTTTATTTTCAAAATCATTTATTAGTCTGAAGAGTCATTTGAGGGAATGGTTGGTGGCAGCGTGAATAGAGTGAGTATGTGAGAGTGACGTGGCACCTCCTTTGTGATGCGTGAGGAGGCTGTCACAGTCCTATATTTTGATTCTAAATTCACATCATTAGTTGGTATTGTTCACAGATGTTGATTACTGACAAACTTCATTAAGTGTGAATATAATCATGACCAGGACCATTGTGTGTCATCAAGTCATTCTGATTTCTGGCAACTTTTCCAAAGGTTTTCTAGGTATAGAGTACTCAGAAGTGGTTCACCAGTTCCTTATTCTGGAGACACACTGGGACTCTACTGCTTGCCCAAAGCTACACAGACTCGCTCTTTTCCCAGGAGACACAGAGGGGACTCAAACTCCTGACGTATACACCTAACTCACTGATCTTTCAAGCCAGGTAAAAGCTTGGCTAAATAAAAGAGAATTGTTAATAAACTAGAGGTAGACCCTAGAAGTGTAACATTTGTAGACAACATGAAGCTGTGAGGAAAAAGACCACATATTCATGTAACAGAAATTCAGAGAAAGTGGAAAAATGCAGTAGTTGTTAATGCTCTTTATATTTTTGAAGTCAGTTTGTTATTTTAGGAAAGACAATGCTGTATTTATTAATCAGTTTCTTACTTTAGGAACGTACAATGAATTAGGTATACACTGGTTTGCTCAAAAATTTGGTTTTATTCTTTTAAAAAATACATTGAGGCTACAATTACTTAATTTTAAACTTTAATCATTACTAACAATAGAGCAATCAGAAACCACACTCTAAGGAATGTAACATCCCTCTGTTTTTCTCAGTGCATGAAAAACGGGGAGGCGTTAAACAGGGGGGAAATCAGCTCTGTGATAAAGCAAAGAATGCCATTATATTTATTCTCCTCCACAATGTCAAATTTGCAAATTTACAAAGTACCATTTTCATGACACTTTTATTATTTAATTTTTTTTTCATAATCTATTTTTCCCCTCTATTCTTTTCAGTGGGATGAACAAGGGGTTGAGGCAATCGGGATGCAGTCCAGTTTCTTCAATTAGTATGGCATATCATCACATCTCTTAAATTTCATATGTAGCATGTGTATACTATATGCTTCATATAGGTAGGTGGGCCTCGTCAGCCATGGAAGGCAGCCCGTCTAGGAGAAGGAAAACTCCAATTTCAAACCTCCACTGCCTTGTGGCTATATCCACTCATGGAAAAGGCTTCAGGAGTTAACCTCGAGGCAAAATCCGGAGCTGGAGTCCCGAAGGCAGCATGTGTCGTTCTGCCAACTCCTGCGACATTGCTGGAACCAGTCGTATTGGCTCTTGCCTTTCCATTGGACCATTTCAGCAATGTGGAGAGGGGGGATCTGCTGCTTGGGTAACAACCTATCCTCCATATTACCTTACCCGGGCTTCATGCTCTGGAGAGGACACTCCTCGATTCAGAGCATGTTACCATAGTCTCTCGAGACTGAAGGAATACTATATCCTTCATACTATATATATATCCCCAAAGACACAATTCAACACATATCTGCATTTTAAAAGGAAAGATATAGAATTTAGTAAGCTTTTTTTGATGGTTACAATTCTTCATTTGAAACTTTGTAGGTTTTTTTAAATTTTAAGTCACATATATGTCATATGGAAAGATTCACAACCAAATCATGTTGCCACACCCCTTCCTCTGGACACCTCTGAAAGCATCCTTGACCTCCTTGTTTCTCAGGCTGTAAATCAAGGGGTTCAGCAGCGGGATGACAATTGTGTAGAAGACAGAGAGGACTTTGTCACTCACGTCTTGGACAAACGATCCACTGCTTGCATTGGGCCTGAAATGCAAAATAAGTATTGCTCCGTGGAAAATCGAGACTACAATCAGATGTGAGGTGCAAGTCGAGAAGGTTTTGAGCCTGCCGGCTGCTGTGCTAATTCTCATCGTGTGCTTGAGAATATATGTATAAGAAACCATAACACTCGTTACGGTGATTAATTCTACAATTCCAGCAAGGTAATAAATGAGGAGTTCATTGACATCGGTGTCTGATGAAGCAATTGAAAGAAGTGCTGTGATGTCACAGAAAAAATGATTGATCATATTAGACCCAGAGAAAGACACTCTGACAGTGAAGATTGTATGAATGAGAGAATGCGAAAGTCCCAGAACATATGACCCGACCACCAAAAAATTACAGACTCTGGGAGACATGAGGGCTGGGTACAGCAGTGGTTTACAGATTGCCACATAGCGGTCGTATGCCATTACAGCCAAGAGAAAGCACTCACTGCTCCCCAGACCTATAAAAAAGAACATTTGCATTAAACATCCAACAAAGGAAATAGACTTTTTCTTTGCTAAGAAGTTGATTAGCGCCTTTGGAACGAACACAGAAGAGAAGCACACATCTAGGAAGGAGAGGTTGCTGAGAAAGAAGTACATTGGCGTATGGAGCTGGGGACTGGCCCTTATTAAGGTAACCATTCCAAGATTCTCCACCAAAGTAGTGATATAAATAGCTAGGAACACAAAAAAGAGGAGTATCCGTACAGTAGGACTGCTTGCCAACCCTACAAACACAAAGTCCTTGCCTCCCGTGGTGGCGTTTTTTCCAGACATGATGGCTGGGTTTTCTTCTCCTAAGACCTGCAAAACACCAGAGTGTGACAGAGGTTATAATACAGTTTCTTCACATAGCACACAGATTAGTAATGTATGGAATGCATTTCTATCAGCCGGGGCAGGGGGTAACCACAACTTTGCCTGGCTTCAGAAGAAAGTTAGACCAATCCTTGAGGGATAAACATTTCAGAATTCCTCAGAAGTTCACTCACCATGTTGATTGCAGACTTGCAGCAAACTTGAGAGCTTCATAGCAGCTAGCAGGTTTGTAATGCTTTAGAGCTGCCATTCTGTTTTCACAATGTGCTTCTCATAAATGTGTCATAAAACATATCTGCTCCTAAGTCGTGTCATATTTTGGAAGCTCTCTCTTAATCTTGGGTATGCTATCTTTTTATTCTACAAAGTTACTTTTCCAAATGCTGAATACCATATATAGGTTCAAGGCCAGTTATGTTGCATTAAGACTGCTATTAGTCCGAAACAAGAAACTTAAAGGTACCCTAGATTTTAAAGGTCAGAACAAGAATGAAAGAAGTAGGAAATTTAGCAGTTGAGATTTATTTTGCAAACAACTTGAAAAGGGGAAGGAAAGCGGAGGGGGTGGGAAATGATGTGACCAATTACACGTACTGACATGCCATGCGCCAACTTTAGACTGTTCTGCTGTCCAAATTTCTATGGAAACAAATCCAGTTGAGCAAAAGTTATGACAAATGTGCAGAGGATTGTATTATCAATCGCTAACCTGGGGGGAGGGTGTCAAAATAGATGGTATGTTAAATTTTACTACACATGTAGACTGAAACTAGTAAATCATTTTGTGGCAATCATAACGGCATATGTGGAATATCAGATCTACATAGGTACCACGCAGGTTTAAAGCATTTCTTTTGCACAGAGAGGGGGGGAGAGAGATTAATAGGGTCCATTGGGGGTCTTGCACTCCCTCTAAGTCTTTGTTTACATTAGTTACAGTGGTCTATGCCAGGTAATCAAATGCTCGTGTAAGGGGAAGGGTCACTCCACTAATGTTTTCTGGGGTGAGGGGGACAAAATCCCCCAACAGCATTGATCTAGCAGTATTGGAGTCTAGATGCTGAACTGAATAGGAGGTTTTGATGAGGCAAGGATTGGGACATTGCATCTATGCCAATTAAAAGCATAGATAACTTTCAAAGTGCTCCTCCTGACATGGCGGACATCACTTATGTTCTGAGGGCAAAAGGAGAAGAAAGCAATTGTTGCAGGCTAATTCCAATAACTAGAGTTTGTATCAAAAGTTTCTCCTACAATTCTGTTTAGCTAAGTCTCCAGTCTTATTCTTATTTATTTAGGATGTATACCGATGAACACAGTAGCATCCGTGTAAAGGTACATAGAGTTAAACTGTCAGTGAATAACTGTGCTATGAGTACATGTCAGATAAACAGTCACTGCATTGCCTTGGAGATAATGCCTAAAGACATGTGCTTTGAACTGCATTTCTGACTCAACTACACCAACATAAACAAGAACAGCATAAACTGGACTTTCACGTACCTTGAGAAATAATGGTGATGCATCTTCCAGATCAGTAGCGGTGGTACTCACTTTCCATTTCAGAGAGAGCACCAGGGACCAGTGAAATTATTTGGACACTCCATTTCCTAGTCCCTTGCTTATTTGGCACATACACAGGAGAAGAGGTTTTTTTTGTCAAATTTAGATCATGTTGATAGTAATATAAACAAGATCCTCAGCTGGATTGCACATCCCTTGATTTATTGGAAATAAAAGCTATTCTTCTCTACTTTCCTCTTCACACATTTTCCGAGAACTGGGTCTTTAGCTTTTTTTTTCTCAACTGCTATCTTCTGTTCCCAACAGCTCTCTATTTCCCCCTCTTGCTCAGAATTCTAAAGTTGACTAGAAAGTCTGCTTTGATCAAGATCGATAGAGGATTGCTTGGTGCAATCTCACTGTTGATTGGCTGGTTTTAGATACGTGGCTGGGAAGTGCCCCCGTCCCCACCTTCGTTGTACTGTAAATTCTATCTGAATTCAGAAGCTACTTGCTGTTTTAAATAAGCAGTGTGCCATGAAGCCACTGGGGGATATGAAGTAAGAAAAGTTGGGGAGGAGTTTAACCTGCCCCCACAGCCATGCAAAGGTCCCAGTCTGGATCAGGGCCATGTCTGCCCCTCCGACTTCTTTATAGTCCTGCTACTTTGGCTGCCAGTTGCTGGACATAGACTGGCCCCATCCTTTGGGTGAGAACATTGTAACTTCATTCTCTGAGTTCTGCCAAGCATTCATACTCTTGTCAGTTTGAGCTAGTGGGCAGTGGACATGTACTGGCTTCGGTTTCACCTGCAAAAACAGCCTACCTTACCCAAAGAGTCCTCTCAAGAAAACTGGAGAAGTAGCAGCAAATATGTAGCCTCCTTCCTAACCTGCCTGTCATGGCCAACACAGTGTAATGTTCCACAATTCTTGTTGTGGGACATTGCACTCATTTTAGAATATAACAATCCTCAGTAAGTGTGTGATTGAACAGGAATGTGTCCCACTGTTTGGTCCAGGGTGGGGATCGGTGGGTTTTCTTTCTTTGCCAGTGATCAGATGATGCAATTGCTAGAGTGACCCAGCCCATCCACCAAATACTGTATTACTATCTTCACCTTTCTGGGTCTCTGTCAGGAGCTGCTGTTTGGTCTGTTTTGTTTTTGCATGCGAGTAGGATTGCTCTGTTTCGATTTGTTTCCAGCATAGGCAATCAAACCAAAGTGGAACCAGTGGCTTTAAATTTCTCATTTCCCAGTATCATTAAGTGGCTTAAGAAGACAGCTCAGCCACTTTAGAATACTAAGAAATAAAAAACTTCCTCTGCTCCTCTTTGGCGGGGCAGAGGAAAGAAGAGCCAATTAGGGCAGCATTGATACAATGTAAGGTAAAGGTAAAGGTTCCCCTTGATAAATTGTCCAGTTGTGTCCGAATCTAGGGGGCGGTGCTCATCCCCGTTTCCAAGCCATAGAGCCAGCGTTTGTCCGTAGACAGTTTTTATGGTCACGTGGCCAGCACGACTAGACACGGAATGTTGTTACCTTCCCACCGAGATGGTACCTATTTATCTACTTACATTTGCGTGCTTTCAAACTGCTAGGCTGGCAGGAGCTGGATCAAGCGACGGGAGCTCACTCCGTCATGTGGATTCAATCTTATGACAACTGGTCTTCTGACCTTGCAGCACAGAGGCTTCTGCGGTTTAACCTACAGCGCCACCACATCCCTGCCCAATACAGTGTATATTTTTGAAAAAAATTATAGTTAAAA